GGAGATGCGGGGAGGTGCGGGCGAGATGTGGGGAGATGCGGGGAGGTGCGGGGAGATGCGGGGAGGAGCGGGGAGATGCGGGGAGGTGCGGGGAGGTGCGGGGAGATCGCACCTCGCCCGCCTCGGGGGGCGGCCTGTCCACGACGGAAGGGTCGGTCTGCAGCCGCTCGGGCAGGTCGGTGGCTCGGATCTTCTCGTCAACGTCCGTCAGCATGGCCTGCGAGATATGGGGGAGATATGAGAGATGGGGGAGATATGGGGGAGATGTGGGGAGATCTGTGTCAGCATGGCCTGCGAGATATGGGGGAGATATGAGAGATGGGGGAGAGATGGGGGGGAGGTGTGGGGGAGATCTGTGTCAGCATGGCCTGCGTGTGTTGTGTTGATATGAGAGATGGGGGAGATATGGGGGAGATGTGGGGGAGATGTGGGGAGATGTGGCGGAGATGTGGGGGAGATGTGGGGAGATCTGTGCCAGCATCGCCTGCTTGAGCGTCTCCGGCTCGGCCAGCTGCGCCAGCCTCTCCTTGAGCCTGCCCTTGCCGCCGCCGCGCCGCGCCCGCTCCGCCGCGCGCGCGCGCGCCTCCACCCTGCGCACGCGCCGCTCCTCCTTGTCGGCCTGCTCCTCCTCGGTTAGGTCGAGGAAGTCACCGTCCTAAGTCATTCACGCCTGATCGTTCTACAGGGGGTCGTTGAGTCGCGTGGGGCGAGGAAGGCGCCGTCCTCTTCCGACGTCTCCTCGAGCAGCTCCGCCTCCGCCTCCACGCCGGCCCCCTCCTCGCCCCCCCCCTCCTCGCCCTCCTCGACCGCGCCGCCAGTGTACTCGAGCAGCTCGCGCAGCTCCGCGTCCGTGCCGAAGATGGCCTCGCTCTCCTCCACCTGCTCCTCTCAATGGTCATAGTAATCATTCATTGTTAATATGAACATTAGTGCCTCGCTCTCCCCCGCCTGCTCCACTCAACGTTCATATTCATCATTAATTGTTAATGTGAATGGTAGTGCCTCGCTCTCCCCCGCCTGCTCCGCGCGCTCGGCCGAGACGCCGTCCTCGCGCCGCCGCCGGTGGAGCGCCTACTCCCATACCTCCACCCTACCCGAACCCAGCGGTGGGTTCGGGTACCGTGGGCGGTGCGGTGCGACCGCCTTGCCATGCGCGTCGACGATGAAGCCGTCGTCGTCGTCGTCGTCGCGCACCTCCTCCTCCCGCCCCCCCTCGCTGCCCTCGCCGCCGCCCTCCGCGCCGCCGCCGCCCTCGTCGTCGTCGTCGCCGCCAAAGAGCCGCGCCTGGCGCGGGGAGAGCGAGGCGAGGTCAGGGAGGGAGGGAGGGAGAGAGAGCGAGGGAGGGAGGGAGGGAGGGAGGGAGGGAGAGGGAGAGAGAGAGAGAGGGAGAGGGAGGGAGGGAGGGAGGGAGGGAGAGGGAGGGAGGGAGGGAGGGAGGGAGGGAGGGAGGGAGGGAGGGAGGGAGGGAGGGAGGGAGGGAGGGAGGGAGGGAGGGAGGGCGGGCGGGGGAAGGGAGGGCGGGAGGACAGGGCGAGAACCATGGGGGTAAGGGGGCAAGGGGAGGCGGCAGCGCTGTCTCGGAAGTGTCTCGGAAGCGTCTCGGAAGTGTCTCGGAAAGTGCGCCTGGATCTCGTCGGCGGTGTCTCCGACGACGGCGGCGGCGGAGGAGGCGGCGGGCTGGGGGCCTACAGTAGTTCATATTCTAGTAATAAAAAGAACCATTCATTTACGGCGGCGGAGGAGGCGGCGGGCTGCGGACCCTTCTTGAGGCGCCCTCCGGCCGCGGTCTTCTTCGGCCGCGCGATCCCCGTGTTCTCCTGGCGAGCCGAGGGGAGAGGGGCGGGTGGGGCAGAGGGGCAGGGGGGGGGGTGGGGGGGGCGAGGGCTGCTGTGCCGCCAGCTGCACGGGGGCAGCCGAGATGGCGAGAGGTGGGGGAGAGAGGGGAGCGGGGGAGGGGGGCGGCAGGGAGGGAGTGGTGGGGCGGCGACCAGAGCGGCGTCCAGAGAGGCGGCCGGGGCGGGGGGAGGCCGGGGCGAGGAGAGTGGTGGAGCCGCTGCTCTGCTCTCCTCTATCAGCAACTCGTCGTCGGAGTCGAGCTCGACGGCCTTCCTCCGCTTGCGCGGGCCGATCTCGTCGTCGTCGTCGCTGCCGCTGTCGTCGCTGTCCTCGTCCTCGTCCTCCGTCATCACCGCCTCCTCGTCCTCCCAGTCCTTCTCTCCCTCCGCCGCCGCGCCCGACGCCGCGGGCTCGCTCGCGCCCGCGCCGCCGCCGCCGCCGTCGCCGCGCTGCGCGCCGCCGTCGCTGCTGCCGCCTGCCGCCGCCGCATTGGCAGCCGCGCCCTCAGGATCCCAGTCGTCGTCGTCGCCTGCGGCGCCGCCGCCGTCTCCGCCCCCGCCAGCCCCACTCGAGGATGCCGCGGCCGAGGAGGCTGCGGCGCCGCCGCCGGCCGCAGCCGGCACAGGGCTCGGAGCCTGTGGGGCGGCGGGCCCGTCGTCGTCCTCCTCGTCGGAGTCCACCACGACTCGCTTCATGCGCTTCCGCGCCGGCTCATCGCTCATCGTCAGGGGCGATGAGCGACTCGGGAAGCGGAGCCAGCGGAGCCAGCTTCGAGCAGTTTCTTTTTGTGAGTTCTTTTTGTTGAATTCTTTTTGTGTTGTTTAAATTCTTTTTGTTGAATTCTTTTGAGCTTGCTTTCATAAAGTTGTGAGCGCTGTCAGAGCGGTGTTTTGTATAAAAACGGTATGGCGGAGAGGGCTCTCTACTGCCGCGGCACCCCTGCCGGTTCGACGTCGACCGGCTGCTCTCGCGGCGCCGAGACGTGCCGCTTTGGTCACGTCTCGCGCGCTGCGAGGTGTCTTTTGGCATGTGAGCGCTTGGCATAGATGCCAGGATACTTGGCTTCCACGCCCGCGGCCGCGGGCGAGCGGGCGGGCCTGCCAGGCTCGGCGACGCTCTGCGCGGGTCTTCGAGCTCGCACGCAGCCCGCGACGAGCCAGCATGGCTCGTCGCTCGACGTGGGAGCCTGCTCAGAATGCTCTCGGCATTCTGGACAGCCTCGCCAAGCTCTCTGGAAAGGCCCGCAGGGCCAGGGCGAGCCGTATCGGGCGCGATGGCGCGCTCAGTAGTGCCATGACTACCAGCTCTCCGATCGGGTCGACGGCAGCGGGCTTGCGCGGCGCGCCGCTCGACGGCAGGCTGCTCTCCACCCTTCCAACAGTGTCTTCTGCCTCGCTTCCCCCTCTGCAACCGCCTCCGGGGGCCGGCGCCGGCCGCCTCGCTTCGCCAGCGCTGCCTACGCCTAAAGCCGTACGACATGCGCGTCGGCTCGCCGCCCGCGTCGCCTGCGGCGGGCCCGCGTGGCGCGCCGCTCGTCGGGAGCGTGATCAGCATGAGGCGTGGGGCCGCCGGCGGCGCTAATGAGGCGTGGGGCCGCCGGCGGCGCTGGTGCCGCGCGCTGTGGGCGTCACCATCGTGTCCTCGCCGCGTCGCCGACGCCACTTGCCGCTCGCGGCTGCCCTGCCCTTCCCTGCCATCGCGCAAACGAACACACACACACACACACACACACACACACACACACACACACACACACACACACACACACACACACACACACACACACACACACACACACACACACACACACACACAGAGAGAGAGAGAATTAATGATCGGGTAATAATTATTAATTATTAATCATCGTGCGGCGGCGCGGCGCGGCGGCGGGCGGCGCGAGGCGGCGGCGCGGCGAGGCAGCGGGAGACGCAGGGCGGGGCGGCGCGGCGGCGGGGGGGTCATTACCCATTTATTAATTAATTATTATTAATTATTAATCATCGTGCGGCGGGCGGCGTGGCGGCGGGCGGTGCGAGGCGGCGGCGCGGCGAGGCAGCGGGCGACGCGGGGCGGGGCGGCGCGGCGGCGGGTGGGGCAATTACTTAATTATTAATTAATTTTTAATTATTAATTATCGCCTTTATCGGGCGGCGGCGCGGCGCGGCGGCGGGCGGGGCGGCGCGGGGCGGCGCGACCATCTGTGCTGACCGGGGCCTCTGGCCTTTGAGGGGCTGCCTTCCACCCGTAGCTGCTCAGGCCGGGGGGGGGGGGGGGACCTCCTGTTCCCCGCGGAACGCGAGGCGAGGCACGCCTCCCGCGGCGGCGCCGGCAGCACGAGCGGCGCGGCCAGCAGCAGCAGCGCTCCAGCCGAGGAGCTCAAGCGCCCGAGGCGAAAGTAGAAGCATGGTCAAGTGTTGTACTGTTTATGCGGGTTCCACGTCATTCTTTTTTCATCTCGAGCTTGGTTTTTCGCGCATTTTTTTCCTAGGTACGATCGTCACGCGGGCTCTTTGTTTCAATCATCTTGTGGCAGAGGGACTGGCAGAGCGACTCACTCAAGTTCCTGCGGCGAGCGGGTGGGCCGTAGCCCTATCATAAACCTCTTATTCATACCTTGCACTTTGAAAAAAGAAATATCCGACCTTTGTCGAAGATCCGGAGGGTTTATCAGAGCATCACCCAGGACTGCGCTTCTGCACACATGGCGGACGGACGGATTCTTGGACGTGCTGCGGATTCTTGGACGGACGGATTCTTGGACGACGGCTACGGTGAGGACGACGGCTTCTGAGGAAGCCGTCGCCCGTGCCTTGCCTGTCGCGTGAATCATGTTGTGCGACCGGCAGTTGGAGCACTTGGAGCACTTAAAGTGCAGTCAGCAACGCGAATTGTAAAATTTTTTGGCGCCTTCTAAAGGTCCGTCGCAGGCTGTGCCTCTTTTGGTACCTGTTCGAACCTGTGTGCTGTCGAGAGAGTTGGCTCCTTGAATTCTTTTTTGAAATTCTGAGAAGCGTCCAGCTTCGCCACAGCGCATGGCCTCGCTCCCCCGCATCGAGCGCACCCCAAGCACAGACACAGCCGACGAGCCCGCTCACAGCAGTGCGGAGCAGGCGTACGCCGCCCTCACCGCGGAACTGCAAAACTCTGGCTTCGACGGTGTCGCTCTCTCCTTCTCCTCGCCACGCCCTTTGCTCCCTCCCTCTCACTCTCGTCGCCGCTGCCTCAGTCGTCGCGCCGCTGCGAGCCGGCTGGTACAACGACTACATCCGCGAGCTCGGCCTCTCGACCGACTCGACGGCCTACCTGCAGGCGCCTCCCTCCCTCCTCCCTCGCAGCCAGCGGATCGGCTGTGCCACTCCTCCCGCGTCTCTTCCCGCCGCGCCACAGCACTGGCCTCCCTCGGGCGTCTGCAGAGCCCACCGCCGTCGCGCAGCGACTGCACAGGCGTCCGGCGAGCGGCACGCCTCGGGCGAGGAGGCACCCTTTGCGCTCGCGCCGCTGCCCGACTTTGGGCGGTCGGGCGACGCGCTGGCGATACTCGTCGGCAACTCGCGCGCCATGTGGCCGGCGTTCCTGCGCTGGCTCAAGGCGCAGAAGGACCCGGACGCCCTCTCCGACCCCGTCGACACCTTTGCAGCGGAGGCCATTTGCGGCGCTGTCGGCCGCTTCGCCGCCGCGTCCGCCGCAGCAGCCGGCCGAAAGGCGGCGGTGGCGCACGACAGCTTTTGGGCGTCCGACATGACGCCCGCGCGGCTGGTCGACATGAACCGCGCCGCGCGCGTCGCCGGCGTCTGCTACTTTAGCGACGCCATGTTCCTCAGCGTGCACCCGACGTTCGGCGCGTGGGTCGCGTTTCGCGCTGTCGTCGTGCTCGACCTGTCGGCGAGAGACACTCCCTAGACACTCCCTAGACACTTCCTAGACACTTCCTAGACACTCCCTAGACACTCCCTAGACACTTCCTAGACGCTCCCTGGACACTCCCTAGACACTCCCTAGACACTTCCTAGACACTTCCTAGACGCTTCCTAGACGCTCCCTGGGCACTTCCTAGACACTTCGTAGACCTAGGCACTTCCTAGACACTTCCTAGACACTTCCTAGACACTTCCTAGACACTTCCTAGACACTTCCTAGACACTTCTTAGACACTTCCTAGACACTGCCTAGACACTTCCTAGACACTTCCTAGACACTTCCTAGACACTCCCTAGACACGTCCTAGACACTTCCTAGACACGTCCTAGACACTTCCTAGACACTCCCTAGACACGTCCTAGACACTTCCTAGACACTTCCTAGACACGTCCTAGACACTCTTCGTGCTCGACTTGCCGGCGAGATGAACCTAGTCTGCCCGGGATCACCAGGCATCTCTCTCCTGCGGTGTTCCGAGAGAGTCCGAGATCGACCGAGATTTGGACCGAGATTGACCGAGATTGGCCCGAGATTGACCGAGATTTGCCCGGGAGCAGGCGTCGCACCTGCGAGGCCCTCCCGCGCCGCTGCCTCCGCTGCTGAGTGACGACGAGGCGGCGGCAGCCAAGGCTGCGTTTGACGAGGCGCTGCGCTGCGTCGACATCACATTTGCTAGCAACGGTGCATGACACCGCGGTCCGGCTGTGACCAGGCGCTGCGTGCCTCGGCCGCGGAGGAGCTGCGTGTGGACGGCATGCCGCGGCACCTGGCGCACAAGTGGGCGGCGATGCGCGACTGCGTGCGCCGGGGGCGCGAGCACCGCTACGGCGCGCGGCAGAGCGAGTACCACTACACCAAGGACCGGTCTCTGCTCGCGGCGGAGCTGGCCAGGCTGGAGGCGGAGGAGGGGAAGCAGCGAAGCGGGCGGTGAGGGTAAGGCACGCTCTGCAGAAGTGGTGAACTTTAAAAAAAGCATCATGTGATGCTTCTTGGGGGGGCTTCTCTGAAAAGCTCGCATACGGGGGACAGGACCGTGAGTTGAACGAAATCGAGGGACGCGTCCCACTTCGCCACAGACGGTCCCGCGCCTCGCCGCTATGACGGCTACACGCCCGCGGCTCGTGTGCGTGTAGCCGTCTTTGTCCGGAGTGAATACTCCAACGCGCTCGTCGGTGACGGTGTCCCTCGATTTCGCCGCGCTCGGCGAACCTCGACAGCGCCTTCGGTGTGGCATGCATCAAGCTGCTGTACGGCCCCGGCATCGCCTTCCCAGGCTTAGCTCTCAGTCAAGATATTGTGGACATGGTTGGTCTCTAAAATATATACACTGACACTTCACCTCCCAGAGCTCGTCCCGGTCCGTCACGGCCATCCTCGGCCTCCGGAGGGCCCCCGGCCGCGGCGCGGTGCGGCGGAGTCACAAATCCGACGGCAGAGCACCGGGACGCGGTCGGGCGATCTAAGGCCCAGTGAGGCGTATGCATTGCCCATCCAGGACTATCACCTGGACCTATCAACAGGGGCTGGAGCCGAGCAGGAGGGCTTTGGCGCACAACCCCTGTCGAACTCAGGGTTGGGGCAAATGTAGATTTCCCGAAATATTTTGAGAAATATGACAGCCTTGTTCGGAAGGAGAAATTTCCGGAAATTTACCATACCTGTGTTGACGCGAATGACACTGACGCCTGAATGACACTGACGCCCGATGACCTGCTTGACCGGTGACCGATGACCGCTGACCGCTGACCGCTGACCAGCGTCAGCCTCTCCGCGGAGGCGCACCATCACTGCCGCGCGGGCCTGCCGGCTCAAGCAAGGCACGGCAGGCCCGCACGGTGCCTGGTCCAACATGGGGGACACCTTGTTTCCTTACACGGAAAGGGGCGAAACTTGAGCATGGAGTGACGGGGCGAAGAAATTTCTCGCAAATTTGCCGTGGCGGGGCACGAAATAAAGACGAAAGAAATGAAAGAAATATCCTTACGCTGGGCAGGAAATCTACATTTGCCCCAAACTCAGGGTCCTTCCCCTTTATCCCTGCGGTGTCCGGTGAGCGCTGTGGTCGCCGCAGACTGGCTCCGACTTGACGGCGTCCCGTATTACCCTGATCCACTCGAGTTCGAGTTCCGCGCATGCATGTGCAACTAGCAAGGATACTCGAGGAAGGATAAAAAACGTGCCTCCCCGTCTTTCTAGCCTGGCGTTTGTGCCCCGTTTGTGCCGCGTCCGTGCCCCCGAGTTCATTAAAAAAGCTAAGCTTAAAAAAACTTTGAGGCGAACCAAAACCAATTTTGCGCCGGGATTCGCGTTTTGGCGATGACTATTACAGACAGGGATTGGGAGCGTGCGCCATGGGGCTGCTTGCTCTGCTCCATATCGCCCAGGCGGCCCTGGGCCTCTGCCCCGGCACCGCTGGCGGCCAGGGCGACCCGCACCTGTACGGCGCGCACGGCGGCCACGCCGACTTTCGCGGCCGCGACAACACGTTCTTCAATGTTGTGTCTCACCAGAAGATGAGCGCGAACATCAAGACGAAGGACGGGGAGTTCCGCCTGCATGGCGCCATCGTGAACGGAAGCTGGATGGTGGAATTGCACCTGATCGCGCCAACGACCGCGGGCCCCCTCTTTTGGACCTATGACGCGGCGAGGATCTCACCCGCCTCGCTGCTCGGCTTCAGTAACGGCACCTGCGGCGGCAAACCCTTCAAGCTCACGGGCTCCAGGATGGGCAACCTCCTGCGCAATGGGCCACTTCAGAGGAAGGTCTGCGGCGATGTCGTCTTGCAGGTGCGGCTCGCGTAGGGTTGGTGCTTTCCCACCGGAGCATCATTGCCCCCTGCCCCTACTTGCCTTCCTCTGTCCTGCAGGCGAATCACAGCTCCGTGAAGGTCTTCATGCTGCCCTACTGGGCCATCACCGTGGCGCCCAAGGCGACCCCGGACTACTTCCACAGGTCTGACCGTATCTCCGGGCCGGAGGCGCACCACTTGCCCCAGCGCGCAGCGGTCGGCCCAATGCTTTGGATGAGCCCGAGTCCCCGTCCCGCGCAGGTGCGCCTTGACCTGCTGTTCACCCTCCTGCGTCCCGAGCGGAGCCTGGACGTGGCGCCCCACGGCCTCATCGGGCAGACCTTTGACGGCTCTGACGTCGGAGTGGACGGTGCGGTCGACCCGAAGCCGCAGCGCGGCGAGCGCATGACCACGATGGCGATGGCGGAGGGCTCGATCGAGGGCGTGTGGCAGGATTACATCATGCCCTCGCCGTTCGCGACGTCGTTCAAGTTCAGCCGCTACAACGTGACCAAAGCGGCTCCCCGCAACGTCAGCGCGCTCACCGGGCGCAGGTTCAAGTTCGCAGCGACGTCCACCTCGGCCTCCGCGACGGCCTCCCACGACGAGGGCACCGATGAGATCACCGAGGCCTCCCGCCGCCGGCTCGAGGAGTCGTGCTCACCTCCATCGCCGCCGCCACCTTCGCCTCCACCACCCGCGCCGCCGCCCCCCTCCACCTCGCCCTCGCCGCCGCCCGCGCCACCACCACCGTCGCCTCCACCACCCGTGCCGCCGCCCCCCTCCACCTCGCCCTCGCCGCCGCCCGCGCCACCACCGTCGTGGCAGTCTGAACCGTGGCTGTCTCCGTGCCTTCATGAAGGTATCGACATCGTAGCGAAGATCGAAGCTGCTATGCCGGTCTATTGTGGCCAAGATCTATTGAATCACCCTCTTGAATCACCCCCGTTCTCTTCTTCTTCTCCTGAATGCAAGAACATATTCTATAATGGTCAGTTGGAATGCTGCAATGAAGTACAGGGTTGGTCTGTGTGGAACATTTGCATGCAATGCGGGGTGTGTGCGTGATTCAAAAGGGTTTCCGCGCACACACCTGTAGGGTGTGTGCGTGATTCAAAAGGGTTTCCGCGCACACACCTGTAGCACGCGCCCGATACTCCATCTCGCGGAGCGGGCCGGTGGGACTCATGCTTCAACGAGACATGGCTATCCGTGCAGCGTGCGCTACGTGGCTCTATGCTCCGCGGGTGGATCAGTGGCGCCACGCAAGGCGTGGGGCAGCAGCGCCGCCTCTCCCCCGGCCGGATCGGCGGCAGCCGAGGCGCCGCCCCCCTCCGCGCCGCCTCCCTCCGCACTGCCTGCCGCCGCGCCTGCCCCCGCGACGCCGCCTGCCGCCTCGCCGACGCCCCCCCCGGCGAGGAACTCCTCGCCACCAGCCTCCGCCTGCTCCGCCGCGCGCCTCGCTAGCCGCGCAGTCACCTCGTCAAGCTGCGCCAGGGCCGCGACCCTCGCCTCCGCCGTCTCCCGCAGCGCCGCACCCGCCTCCGCAGCCGCCGCCTCCGCAACCCCATCGGCCGCCGTCAGAGCGGCGAGTCGAGCGGCGACTTGCGGGGCGGCGGCCTGCGGGGCGGCGGCCTGCGCCGACGCCACCCCCGCCCTCGCCTCCGCCGCCGCTGCCGCCGCCGCCGCCCTCGCGCGCAAGTCCGCGACCGCAAGCCCCTCGAGGGTCGAGTCGCCCTGCCGCGCCGCCAGCAGTCCGGCGTCGGCGAGTCGCAGGCGCCTCGTTGGTAATCACGCATAGTTAGCCCTCCACACAGACTGTGCGCTCAAACGGCGTCCGGCGAGACGCGAGCGCCTCTCCAGCGTCGCGCGCTCGTCGCCCGACGCGCCGACCGCCGCGCGGGCGAGGTTGTCGCGCACCCGCTGCAACCGCGCGCTCGTCATGCCCCGCCGGTTGAGCGCCTGCTCTTGGACACGAGCGAGACTCAGCAGTCACCAGCCAGTTCCAGCCCGCCGTGGCACGAAAGTTGAGCGCTCCTGTGATGGCTTACGAACGCGTCACGAGTCCATCATACAGCTCGCCATGCCCGGCGGGCAATGCGCCTCGTTGAGACGCGTCCCCTCCGCGAGCAGAGCGGCCTATTCACAGCCGCGAGCGTGAAGAGACGCCGTTCACACCCTCCCCGCCCGGCCACCTGCGAGAGCAAAAGAGGCCGACACAGAAGCCGCCTCCACCGTGGCTGGCGGGGAGTCTGCCCGCCTGTTCACACCGAAACTGTGAAGAGCCGCCGTTCACACACAAGACTGCGTCGTGCAGCGCGGATAGCTCGGCCGCCCCAACGCCGGCGACTCCGCGAACCGCTGCTCGGCCGCTCGCGGCGGCGGCGGCGTTGCGAACGGCGGCGGCTGCGGCTGCGGCGGCTGCGGCGGCTGCTGCGGCTGCTGCGGCTGCGGCGGCTGCGGCGGCTGCGGCGGCTGCGGCGGCTGCTGCGGCTGCTGCGGCTGCTGCGGCTGCGGCTGCTGCGGCTGCTGCTGCTGCTGCGGCTGCTGCGGCTGCTGCGGCTGCGGCTGCTGCGGCTGCTGCGGCTGCTGCGGCTGCGGCTGCGGCTGCGGCTGCTGCTGCGGCTGCGGCGGCCGGGGCGGCAAGGGTTCCTGAGGAAGCTGGCCGTTGTCGTCGTCCCGCAAGTACTCGGCGCGAAAGTCAGCCTATGGGACAGTTCCGTGAAGGGGAGCTCCCCGAGGAGGCTCGAGCGGCTGCCCCGCGGGTACTCGGCGCGGAATTGGGCCCAGAGCAGCAGCATGGCGACCAGCGGCGCGACGGCGAGCTCCGCGGCGAGGCGCGCCTATTCACAGCAGCTGCTGTGAAGAGGCGCCGTTCACAGCGGAGGGACGGCGAGCTCCGCGGCGAGGCGCGCCGCCGCTCGCAGCGTCAGCAGCGGGTAGAGGAGGGTACGCCCTCCGCCTCCTCCGCCTCCTCCGCCTCCTCCGCCTCCTCCGCCTCCTCCGCCCCCGCCCCCTTGGCGCGCGCCGGTGCCGAGCCGGTGGCGCAGCGCGCACAAGAGGGAGACGGCGAGGGCAGAGAGGGCGAAGACGCCGAGCAGGAGCAGCGGGAGGGGGAGCGCGTCCTCCGACAGGAGCCTGTTCCTTCATTACACACCGTTCAACAGCAGTGATGGGCGGTGCGGCACAACCGTCCGACAAGCGCCTGTCCACTCAAAACGAGCAGTCAAGAACTGGCTAACAGCGGTGCCGCACAGCATCCTCCGACAGGCGCCGCGAAGTCGCCCGCCCCACCGCCGCCAGCAGCGCACCGATGCTGCCGGGCGGCGGCGGCGCGGCGGGGTTCGCGAGCAGTGCGTGGCCGATGTCATATGAGGCGAGCGCGCCTAGAAGTAGTCCGTCTTGATGAAGGAGTCACTCCTCGATTAGCTGTCCCCCCGAGGTCGTATGAGGCGAGCGCGCCGCCGTCGTAGAGCACGAGCGCCGTCGGGGCGGCGTCGGGGCCGGAGCCTGCCACCGCAGGCAGCAGCAGCATCGCGAGGGGCTCGGCGCCTGTGCGGATGAGACGGAAGGGGTGCATCTCGGCTTTGCCTCTCGCTGCACCTCGGCTGCCTCTCTGCTACGTTCTGCTGTCTCTCTGCTGCCTCTCTGCTGCCTCTCTGCTGCCTCTCTGCTGCCTCTCTGCTGCCTCTCTGCTGCCTCTCTGCTGCCTCTCTGCTGCCTCTCTGCTGCCTCTCGGCTGCCTCTCGGCTGCATCTCGGCTAAGCCTCGCCCGCCAGCGCCTCCACCGCCGGCAGAATCGCCGTCTGCAGCCGCCAGGAGTCTGACGCGTCGACCTCGGCGGCCGCCCCCTCCCCCTTCGCCCCGCCCCGGCCCCCCGCCCCCGCCCCCTTTCTCCCCAGGACCGCCTCCGCCTCCCTTGCGCCGGCCTCCTCCTCCGCCAGCCTCGCCTCCTCCTCCTCCTCCACCTCCACCTCCACCTCCGCCGCCGCCTCCTCCGCCGCCTCCGCCTCCTCCTCCGCCTCCTCCCCCCCCTCCTCCGCCTCCTCCGCCTCCTCCGCCTCCGCCGCCTCCGCCTCCTCCGCCTCTGCCTCCAGCCCGAACCACCACAGCGCCCAGCGGCGCCACCTCCTCCACGCCCGCCCCACGAGCCGAGCGTGCCTAACGGCAACAGCGACAAGACATCGCGATCAGCGAGCGATCAACAGCCTGCCGCCGCGAGCCGCGAGCGCCTGAGGACAATGGCGGTGATTCGTTCTCAACGATGACCCATTCACACCCACCCCAGCGAGCCGGCCGAGCCTAGGCGAGACGCGAGGCGCATAAAAAAAGAAAACGCGGCGGTGCCATGGACCACCGCGCGGGGGATTTGGGAGCGCCAAGTGGCGCCAGACGCCGCGGCACGCGCCGCCGCGCCGCCCTCCCCCCTCGCCATCGCCTCCTCGAGCGCCGCCGCCGCGGCGAACGCGGCGGAGGCGGCGGAGGCGTTGAGCGAGAGGAGGAGGACCGCGTGCGGCGAGAGCAGCAGCGCGATCTGCGGCGCGGCCCCTACAGTCATGCCCCGTCAGCCGCTCCAGCCCCGCTGCGGACTCCTCACTCTGCCGCGGTCTGCGGCGCGGCTCCGTGGGCGAGCAGCGTGAAGGAGGAGGCGGCGACGCCTAAGGGAAGAGAGCCGAGGCGACGCCTACCCGTGAAACAAAGGCCGGGCGACGGCAGCGTGAAGGAGGAGGCGGCGACGCCTAAGGGAAGAGAGCCGTGAAACAAAGGCCGGGCGACGGCAGCGTGAAGGAGGAGGCGGCGACGCCTAAGGGAAGAGAGCCGTGAAACAAAGGCCGGGCGACGGCAGCGTGAAGGAGGAGGCGGCGACGCCTAAGGGAAGAGAGCCGTGAAACAAAGGCCGGGCGACGGCAGCGTGAAGGAGGAGGAGGCGACGCCGTCGATCTCGAGCTCGAGCATACCCATGCCTGTAGGGAAGGCTGCGAGACGGTTCAGGGAAGGCTCCTCCTCAATCTCCAGCCCGAGCATGCCCGTGCCGGTTAGCGTGGCCACGCTGTGACCGTGCGCGACGGCGACGTGCTCGCCTGTTCACAGCCGGCAATGCGAAGCGGCGCCGTTCACACCGCGCGTGTGCCTCGGCCGTATCTCGCGCGTATCTCGGCTACATCTCGCCGTCGGCAGACCCCCCCACGAGAGGACTCGCCGCCCCCGCCGCCTCGCCCGCCGCGCCGCCTCGCGAGCGCTGCGCCGCAGTTGTCGTCACCGCGCGGAGGACCCAGCCCCGCACCTGTTCACAGCTAGAGGTGTGAAGAGACGCTGTTCACAGCTGTCGCGGAGGACCCGGCCCCGCACCTGTTCACAGCTGCAGGTGTGAAGAGACGTTGTTCACAGCTGTCGTGGAGGACCCAGCCCCGCACCGGTTCGCAAGCCGGGAGCAGGCGGCGGGCTGGCGGCAGGCACCTGCGATGGTGAGAACATGGACACCTCCAAAGGCCCAGGGTTCTACAGCTAGCTGTGGACAGCGTCATCTCTTCTAACTTCTCTCCGTGCGGCTGTCGCGTGAGGCGGTGTGCGGTTGGCACGTGCCATTGGAGGTGTCTAGGAAGTGTCTAGGAAGTGTCTAGGAAGTGTCTAGGAAGTGTCTAGGAAGTGTCTAGGAGGTGTCTAGGAAGTGTCTAGGAAGTGTCTAGGAAGTGTCTAGGAAGTGTCCAGGCAGGCACCATGCAGGCGGCGCCCTGGCCCCTGGAGAGAGAAGGCGGACACGCAGACCCTCATCGCCGCCTGACTAGTTCATGAAGCAACACTCACTCACTGAGCGGCGGGAGTCACCCCTCGCCTCCCCTCCCCGCCGCCGTCGCCGTCGCCGCCGCCCGCGGGCGCAACAACTTCTCCGAGGAGAACCGACGCGTCCATCCGCCGCCGCCGCCGGTCCATCTCCACGCGCGCGGTCTCGAGGCCTGTCCAGCGGCGCGGGGGTGTGAGCGCAGCAGCCCCAAGCTCCACGCCGCAGCTCCACTCTCGAGGTCTCGCCTCCTCCTCCCCGCCCTCGCCGCGCGCTTGCCTCGAGACCTCCCCCGCCCCGCACCCGCCGCCACACCCCACGCCACGCCCCCAGCCCTCGCAGAAGCCGCCGCAGCCCGCCGCCACGGCCGCCGCCGCCGCCGCCGCCGCTCCCCCCGCCCCCGCCACCGCCCCCTCCGCCGCCGCCTCCTCCGCCGCCTCGGCCGAATCGGCCTGCCCCGGAGCGCTGCAGCCTCGGCCCAACTTCCCGTGGGCGCGCCGTGGCGAGGAGGACCTGCATTCACACCCCGCAGCCGTGAAGCGGCGGCCGTTCACAGCTACCTCCGCCTGTGAAGAGGCTTCTCGGCTGTCTGTGCTGGTGCGTACTGGGCCCGGGGTTGTGTGTCTGTGTGAAGAGGCGGCAGCACAGCACCGTCTCGAAGCCGCTGACTCTGTCGACGAGCGGGCCTAGCTCATGATGATAAAGAGAGTCAGCAGCGGACCGGTGCCGCCGCAGCCACTGCTCTGCCAACGAGCGGGCCAGGAGGCTCTTGGCTCCACGGGCCAGCCCGGCGGCGCGCGCCGCACTCGCCACCTATTCACAGCTGCAGGTGTGAAGAGACGCTGTTCACACCCACACGCTCGAGGATCTCGTCGCCGCCTGCTCACAGCTGCAGGTGTGAAGAGACGCTGTTCACGGCCTCTGGGAGCTCGTCGCCTCTGCTGCCTCCGCTGCCGTCGGCTCCGCGAGAGATGGAGGAGACGGCGCGGCAAAGGGCTCGGAAGGCGTGCGTGTCTCGCCGCCGCGCGTACACGACGCACTCCTGTTCACAGCTGCAGGTGTGAAGAGACGCTGTTCACAGCTGTCCTCGCGCGCAGACGCACACCTGCCGCGCCGCCTTCCTGCCACGCCCAGCTCCGCCCCCGCCACCGCCATTGCCAGGGTCCCCGGGACTGCCAGAGTTGCTGTCCGAGATGCCACAACTCGCAGAGACGTGGCCGACCTTCACACACTTCCAGGTTACAGGCTCCACCACGAAGTGCGACAATTGCAACTTCGCGCTGGATCAAATCAGAACGGAGTGGGCTATTTTCCTCGATGCGGATACCTTGTTCTCGACGCAAACGTTGATTTATGCTAGCCACTTATCCTCGTCAACAACTTTCGACTTTTGGCAGGGGCGGATGGTCAACCCCAAGAGCGACGTACAAGGTGTTTTCCCTTTTGGCGCAGTGACCTGCATGTACGACTCG